TCTTTACCAGCTATAATGGTGGCCTGAGGATAAGGTAAGGTGAGAACCAGGCTGACCCCCCAGGTCAGAGCAGCTGAAAAGACCAGGCTGCCTGCTTCTTCATCTGACCGCTCAGGCAACGGAGCCAGGGACTGGAGCTGCTGACTTACTTAGTAGGAGTAAGTCACCTCCTACTAAGCAGGAGGTGACCCCGATGTAAAGTCTTGAGGAGACTCCCCTGGCAGCAGCTTAGAGAACAGATGAAGCAGAGGGCAGAGAGTTGGGAAAGTGCTGGATGGCTCAGGGGCGATCCTGCAGAAGAAACCTGGCCTATGGCAGAAACTCAGCCTCTGTGTGGGACACACAGATGGCTGGACTGGAGATGTGGGGACAGGCTTCTGCAGAACCCGTTTGGTTTGGAGGAGGCGTAAGAAAGAAAGGGAGTGAGCCACTGGCAGTAAGAACCTCTTCCCTCTTCTCGAGGCTCAGATCTAGGGAGCCAGGAGACCAGGAAAACCACATCACAGCTCCACTTCCCCTTCCACATAAACGAAAACCAAAGAGCTGAAGTTGTCGGAGGGGAAGAGAAGACGGAAGAGAGGCACAGACTTCCTTCTTTCTCACCCATCTGCCACTGAAGCCCAGCACGGAACATCTAGGGACGCAGAGGCCAGAAGGACCAGGAGTCCAGGGAGGCTGTGGACTTGAGAGACACAGACATGTCTCGGCCTCATGAACAAGCCCAAAGGCTCAGGGCCCTCAATGGCTCTCCCACTGCCCTCCCCCAGTCCATCCCCAGGCCAGCCGGTGCGACTGCCTGGCACCTTCCCTCTCCACCTCCCGGGCCACGCGCTGCCAGACTCCTGCAAGGGCATCCTGAGTGGCCTGCCCGCCTCCAGTCCTCGGCCTCACCCACCGGGCCACTGGGTCCAAGGTTCCCAGAGTCAGCTTCCCAAAAGAGCAAGGGTCACATCACTGCCCCACCTTAAGCTTCCAATGGCTTCTCAACAGCCTCCAGGATAAAGCCCCAGCTTTGGGATGTGGCTCCCGGCTTCCCCTGCAGCTCAGGGCATCCCGCCTCACACAGCAGATTCACCGGTGCTGAATCACTCGGTTCCCGGCACAAACCATGCTGTGTGCACCATCCACCCCTTGCTGAAGTGGCTCCCTACACCTGGGACTTCCTTCTCTTCCCGTCCCTCTTTTTCTGGCTAATTTTTATTCATTATTTAAGATTCAGCTCAAGGATTCCACACTGGAGCAAGTCTTCCACCCTGGAGCAAGTCTTCCTGACCCTCTGTGCAGGGTGGGGTGAGGTGTCCCCTTCGTAAGTACTCAGTGATACCTTATTTCCCCTGCGATCACACAAACCACACTGGCTCACATTTACAGCACACATCTGCCCCCAGTCATGAAGGACAATGCCACTGTACACCACGCAGATGGCACACAGTAGGCATCTACTAAAGAATGAGAGTGGGCATAGGCACGGACAATGGGAGGGGCAACAGATATTATGGGTGCTCAATGACTAAAATAATGAATTACAACAGGAAGGATCAGGAAAGGCTTCACAGAGAAGGGGCATTTGAGCCATTCTTCAAAGAGCTGGATATTTGGTAGGTGAAAAAAACAGCAAGACTGCCAAGGTATAAACATGTACAAGTTGGTGGTGGTTTCAAATAGGGTGCTGGGCTAAGCACAGGGTTGTTAGAGGAGGGTATAGTGGACCCAGAATCACTCAAATGTTATGTGACATGGCCAGACCCTTGTGTTAAGATTGGGTGTAGGGGCTAACAGAAAACAGCTCAAAACCAGTCTCAAAGTAGGGTGTTCAGTGTCTTGTTCCTCCCATCTTTCTGTTCAGACACACTCAACATGTTCTCCCTAGCAAGGCCCCCTCATGGCCCCAAGATGGCAGCCATAGTGCCAAGTATCACATCCCAGCCCTACTACATCCCATAGCAAAGGTCCCATGGTATAGTCAAAGCCATGGTTTTTCCAGTGGTCATGTACGGATGTGAGAGTTGGACCATAAAGAAGACTGAGCACCAAAGAATTGATGCTTTTGAACTGTGGTGCTAGAGAAGACTCTCGAGAGTCCCTTAGACTGCAAGGAGAGCAAACCAGTCAATCCTAAAGGAAATCAACCCTGAACATTCATTGGATGCTGAAGCTGAAGCTCCAATACTTCAGCCATTTGATTCAAAAACTGGAAAAGACCTTGATGCTGGGAAATATTGAGAGTAGAAGGAAAAGGGGAAGACAGAGGATGAGATGGTTGGATGGTATCACTGACTCAATGGACATGAGTTTGTGTAAACTCTGGGAGATGGTGAAGGACAGGGAAGCCTGGCGTGCTGCAGTCCATGTGATCACAGAGAGTTGGACATGACTCAGCAACTGAACAACAACAATAGCAGGAGAGGCCATTTCTTTCTAAATGCCTCCATTTAAGATGGGAAAAAAACCTTTCTCCATCCCCCCTGAAAATTCCCCTGTATATTTTACAGCCAGAGTTGTGGCATGTGTCCATTCCTAAACCAATCACTGCCAAGGAGGACAAGACCACAGAGGTTCACCACTGGGGCTGGGACTGATCTCTCTCAATGTCCCTGGAGGGTGGGCTCCTGAAGATCAGTGTTCTGTCAGCAAAGCAAAAGGGCAAAGGCTGTTGATAAACAGTCAACAGTGTCTTCTACAACTTCTTACCTGCCTGTCCCGAAGAACACCATTAAACCGGGTGCAACCTGCAAACATCCGGCATCTCCACCCTTCAGCGGTTCTATTTTAGGTCAGAGGAAGTAACTGTCCTAGGAGAGGAAACTGGCTCAGAGCTATGACGGGAAGGTCTATAAACACTGCAGCCTGCTTTTCTGGATCCGGAGTTCTGTGACAGTCGGGGGTAGGAAATAGCAGGGATGCCTGCGTTCCAGAGAGAGACCCCGGATGCTGTGGTATTTTACCTGAGAGTTTGCCTGTCTCCTTGCACAAATATTTGAACAGATATTTTCCTTAGGCCTCTCTTTCCTTAGGGACAAAGAGGCCTGGCGTGCTGCAGTCCACGGGGTCGCAAAGAGTCAGACATGATTGCGTGACTGAACAACAGGCCTCAACAGTAAAAAAAATAACCAGCACAAAGGCTTCCCTCGTGGCTCAGTGGTAAAGAATCCACCTGCCAATGCAGGAGTCACAGGTTCGATCCCTGGTCCAGGAAGGTCCCACATGCTGTGGAGCAACTAAGCCCGTGAGCCACAACTACTGACGCCCTCGGGCCTAGAGACTATGCTCAGTGACACGAGGAGCCACTGCGAGGGGAAGCCCACGAGCCGCACTAGAGAGTAGCCCCCGCTCGCCCCTACGGGAAAAGCAGGAAAAGCCGACACAGCAGTGAAGACCCAGCACAGCCAAAAAGAAAGAAAAAGAAACTGATTGATTAAAAATACCCAGCACATTCCTATCAGAAGGATTGTGATCCGGCTACTCTCAGCCTTGGAGACCAGACCCTTCCTCACTCCCTCCGCATACTAAGAGCCCGCCCACCCTGGATCATAAATTCTTTGAGCACATTTTCCCCAAAGGTTCCCCTTTCTGCCCCCCTGGGGTACTCTCCCTTCCCTGCACACTCACGGCCATCCATGCCTGTGTAGCTTTGCTGTGGTGAGGATGGACATCAGTTCAAAACTGCGAACAGTCCCGCATCTTTCTCTTCTAATCAGGTATAAGATGCTCTAGCCCACAGACCCTGAGTTTTCACCTTTGCCTCCCAAGTGCCTGGCACACAGCAGGATATGCAGTAAAAGTGTGTGGAGGGAAGAATCTCTATATTGAATTGGTCCTTGCTTTTTTCCTTCCATTGTTGATCCTGCAAATGAGAACTCATTTTTCCTTCTCCTCTTGATCCTGCAAATGGAACCCACTCACTTTTGTTTAGAATGGATTATGTGCCTGGCACCACTTTCTGTATGTTAATATATGGCTTGGTTTAACACCTTTTTTAAAAAACCTGAAAGCTTTTTCAAAGTTTACAGGAGAGGACACTGATGACCAGAAAAGCTAAGAGAAGAGTGTAAGGCAGACTCTCCCAAGGCCACGTGAGGAATCAGGATATGGCATTCAAGTTCAAGTCTTCAGAGGCAATGTCCAGCGTGGGCAGTGAAGACAGACCGCCTCGCTTAAAATCTTGCCACCTGTGCAGTATATGACCTCGGGGAAATTAGTCCCTGTGTGTGTTTCCTCCCACATCAAATGAGGAGAAAAAGAGTACCTGTTTCACAGAGCTGTTACAAGCATTAAACGAACTCATAGGAAAGCTGCTTAAAGCAGTGCTTGACGTGTATTAATGTACGATAAGGGCTTCCCAGATGGCGCTAGTGATAAAGAACCTGTCTGCCAATGCAGGAAACATAAGAGACAAGGGTTTGATCCCTGAGTTGGGAAGATCCCTTGGAGGAGGAAATCGCAACTGACTCCAGTATTCTTGCCTGGGAAATCCCATGGACAGAGGAGCCTGGCGGGTTATAGTCCGTAGGGCAAATATTAGCTATTGTTATTGATCCCGAGTCCAGTGGTTTTCCCACTGTATCATGACAAATGCTCCTACTTACATATACCAAATCAACACAGGCATGAGAGTGATCTGACCAAAGGACAGACCCCACAGAGATCTTGAGTTCCATCATCCAGAGGACTGCTTCGGAAAACAGCACAGAGGCAACGCAATGTACAAATTCCACCCCGCAAGGGCTCCCGGCTGCAGCTCAGCCCTCATTTGTGGGTCTGGGGGTGGGGGGAACCTCCCAGGGGAAAGACACAGGAGCCATTCAGCCACCCCAGTGCCCAACTACTGCCCATACGCCAGGGAATAGCCCCTTAGTCTGCACAAGCTTTGAGGAACTGAAATGCCTGCAGCTCTTCCCTGGAAAACCCAGTGCCCACGGTGGTGATGAGACAAGGTGGGGGTGGGCAGGGAGTCTTCAGAACAAGGCACAGCTGGAGGGCACGTGGCCCCTTCCACCTTGATGACAAGAAAGCCCCCTTACCCTCTGAGGCTCCTCCCTCCTGCATTCATGATCTCACGCAAGCCGGCGAGGAGTGGGGGTCAGGACAGAATTATCACCACCTTGACATGGGTGAGGAAGGGTGCTTCCAGAAGGTAAGTGACTGCTTGTAACAGTCACATCACAGTCAATATCTAGTCAATTTCCAGACTAGAACTCTGGGCTTCTGAATCACAATTCAGTGCTCCTTTCCATTAGTCTGTCTCCCACATCGGTTATTTGTCTTTTTCGATACATATGGTTCCTTTCTCTTTTCCTCTCTTCTTAAAGACCTGTTGTCTTCTCTGCACTGAGAGTTACAAAGATGAACAAGACATTTGAGGCCCAGCTTATTCCTGCCTCCCCAAGCCGCTGCTCTGCAGGACGCACACACAGAAAGTGTTCCAAGTGCTTGCTGCTCTGAATCACATCTTCGCTACTGGTCTGATAAGGATTCTGGTTTTCTTTTCTGGAAATGGCAGTTTTTACATCTTTGTAAGTGTTCTTTCTTTTCCTTGTTTGCAAAAGAAGACTCAGTGTATTAAGCTGGCTGGTCTCTGCTTGGTGCCTGCAGGACAGGACATCTGAGAACCCTCCATAAGGCCACAACCTCGCAGAGGTCCCAGCCTCCTTTGAAAGTGGGCCAAAACGATTCCTCTCTCCAGTGCAGAAAAATGACAAGAAAGCGCATTCTGCTTCTGGGTAAGGATGGGGGAGAAAAAGGCTTCTGTGCAAACTCTGAGGCCCGAAGTATGGACGCAGAGCTCAAAGATACTGGGGTTAAAAGCAGAGACTGGGGTTAAAAGTCTCCAGCTCAGCAGCTACCACAGCAGCGTTTCCAGGATCTAGACCACCCTCAGCACCTTGGCTGAAGCACAAAACCAGCTCTGTAAATCCTCTTCTGCTACCCAGGAAAGGCAGGGTATGAACCACCATTTTGCCATTTCCTCCAAATCGGAAGATGCAGGAAATGGGAAAATAGGCTCCTCCAGAATTAACGTAACAGGGCAGTCTGAAAAAGAGTATTGGTGCATTTTAAAGCAAAGATATGAAATAAGAACGAAGAATTCTCATGGAAGAATAAGACCCAAGGATTCAAGGCCAATGGATTGGAAAGAGAACCAGAGGGAATTTCCAGAAGTAAAATGGAGAGTCGTCAGAAACAAAAACTCAACGATGAGAAAATTGAACAAACAGGGTGACACAGAAGCCAAGGCACTGGATCCCGCCTCCCCGCCCAGTGCCTGCCCTTGGCCTGTGCCTGGCACAGGGGGACAGGAGGAGTAAGCCAGAGCCCCAACCCGGGCCCCTCAAGATGCTCAGTCTGAAAGGGAGGCAACCACACCAGCAAATGCGTTTCCATACGGGACGGCGGTGATGATGCTTGCATTTCTGCACTCCTCATGCAGGATGCTTTTCCTCCATGATTTCAGTTCAGTACAAAAAAGTGTGAGGACGCCAGGAAGGTGGGGTCCATAGCAGACCCCAGCATCTTCTGGCTTCCTCTGGGCCATCCTGAACCAAGGTCACAATCACCATGGAATGTGGAGCCCTCTTATATTCCCCCCCTTCAGTTTGCAAAAATACTATTTGGAAATGTCAATAAGAATAGTACAAGGAACACACATGCCCTTTACCCACCTTCATCAATGGTTAATATTTTACTCCCCTTGCTTTTTTTCCTTTTTTTTTCCTCACATGTAATTTTTATGTATTCAGAAAATACATATAATTATTTTCTGAACCATTTGAGGGCAAGCTGCCTATATGATGGTCTTTTACTGGAGTGCCTTCTGCGTTTCTGATGGACTAGGCAGTTGGGATTAACAGATGCAAACTGGTAGATACAGAATGGATAAACAATAAAGTCCTACTGTATAGCACAGGGAATTATATTCAATATCCTGTGATAAACCAAAATGGAAAAGAATATTGAAAAGAGATATATATATGTATAACTGAGTCAGAAATTAACACAATGTTTTAAAGCAAATATATTTCAATAATATGATTTGTATTTTAATTTTTTAACAATTAAAAAGTGACTATAGCTGCAAGAGGGACAAATGGTCTATTTTGTTTTATTAATTTTTATTGCAGTACAGTTGCTTTAAAAATGTTGTCTTAAGATTCTACTGCATAGGAAAATGAATCAGCTACACTTATAAATATATATCCCCTCCCTTTTAGATTTCCCTCTCGTTTAGATATCCCTCCTACGCGAAAGGATAATTATTTCATTACAAAACTACAATGAAACAGGCACCCAGTATCATTCCATAGGCAAGAGTTTTATAAAGGCAGATGCCTTGCTGGATGAGTCTTGATGAGGGAAAGATGAGCCATCCCCCAGAAACCACAAACAGGCTGGACCCTCTTCTTGTCCTGCCCACGGATGCCTGGCATGGGCCTGGTTCTCGGGAAGCCCTGTGACATCTGGGGGATGCACTAACTGTCACACTTCTTTACTCCAAGTCTAACCAGACTTCCACCTGGTATCCCTCTGTTGGAGAGACACTGCTTGCTCATTTCTGTTTTTCTAACGCTGTACACTTTCGCATTTCCTGACTTAGACCAGTAGAGGAAGGGGAAACGCCAAAAATACTACAAGACCGGCTAGTTGGTGGCACTTCCAAGGGATGGGGGTCGGCAGGGGAAGCGCGGGCAGTGAGGGACCTCGGTCTCCCTGCACTCGGCATGCCTCTGGCTGGCAGAGCTGATGGGGCCCCCCAGCACTGAAGGTCTCCGGACACTGTCTGTTTCTGGGGAGTAGCTGGGACAAGAGCCCATTTTCTTCCAAATAACAGGGAAGATGTTCTCAATCTGGTCTTAATCAGCCCCTCGCAGCGACGCAGAAGATGGGGTCGCCTGCCACAGGCCACGAGGAGGCCGGGCCTTGGGATGCTTTTTCCCCTTTCAGTTCAGATGGATTTGTCCTGACCAAACTGCACACCCTCTCCTGACTTCTCTTAAGGCCAATGGCCTGCTTTGGGAACAGGAATGGCTGAGTCTGGGGACAGTAACCATAGCTCAGGAACTGAGGTTTTAACTGCACAAAAGGCACACGTGTTGGGGTTCCCGTCATCCCGAGAGACCAACCCCAGGCAATTTTAAAGAGAGGACTAACCCCCTCAGTCTCCACTCCTTCTGGGAGAAGATGCAGGGTAGGGGGGCGGGGGGAGGGTGTTCATGGGTTGGTCAGTTTAACTGATTCATGAAGTGGGGTAAAAAAAAAGTGAATGTCCCCAGTTGAAAGTGAACAGTCTGGCCTACAGCCTGAAGGATGTGCAGTGAAATGAATCCTCAACTCTGACTCCCCACGTAAAGCCGGGCATCAACAAGACCTTGAATGGAGGAATGAATAAATCTCAATGAGACAGTGAAATACTTGGAAGGGCAGTGAGGATACAAGTAGGGACTGACTTCCATCCAGGTACCACTACCTCCAGGAAGATGTCCCTGGCTTCCCTTCCCTCACTGGGTTAGGGGCCTCACCCCACAGTCCCCATAACATCTTCCCCTACCAGCCTGCGAAGATGTCCACGTCCAAATCCCCAGGAATTGTGAATGTGTTAGGCTACACAGGTCACCGGCAATGGGGAACTAAGGCTGAAGACGGAAATAAGGTTACTAATCAGTTGACCTTAAAATAGGGAGATGATTCTAGGGTTTCCCAGGTGGCTCAGCGGTAAAGAACCTGCCTGCAATGCAGGAGATCTGGGTTCGATCCCGGGGTGGGGAAAATCCCCTGGAGGAGGAAATGGCAACCCATTCCAGTATTCTTGCCTGGAGAACTCTATGGACAGAGGAGCCTGGTGGGCTACAGTCCTTGGGGTTGCAAAGTTGGACACAACTAAGCGACTAACACTTTCATTCTCGATTATACAGGAAGGCTGCTGTAATCAAAAGGGTCCTCAAAAGTAGAAAAGAAGAAAGAACCAGGGAAGGACTAGGACCAACACTGCTGGTTTTGAAGAAGGAGGAGAGGGTCAGGAGCCAAGGAATGCAGGAAGCCTTTAGAAACTGGAAAAGGTGAGGGAATAGATCATTCTCTAGAGCCTTCAGGGAAAAAAAAACAGAGTTCTGCCCACACCTTGACGTCAGACCCATTTCAGACTTCTGACCTCCAGCAATGAAGGAGAATAAACTGGTGGTGTTTTAAGCCACCCAGTTTGTGGTAATTTGTTATGGAAGCAAGAAGAAACTAATACACTGTTTATCATTACATAAAACCTACACATGCATACACTAACATGGGCTTCTCTGGTGGCGCAGACCGTGAAGAATCTGCCTGCAATTTTATTTATATGCCTCTCTCTCCACTTCTACTCTTCGCCCCCTGTGATCCACTCTTATAAAAGTAATCTCCTTAAAATGTCAATCAGACCCCACTCCTGAGCCTACATTCATCAGTTCCCCTTTGTACTTGGTGGGGTGATGGTCCGCAGCATGATGCAGCCTGCCCCTGCCTCCCTCTGAAACCTCGCCCTCACCCCTGAGCATGCTCCCCGTTGCTCCCTTACACTCTGTCCCGCTCATGGCCCCACTTTCCTCACTCCCAGGATCACATCAAGCTCTTCTGCGCAGACAACCCTGCATACTCTGAGCTCCCTGCGTGGAATGCTCCCTCTCCAGTAACCTCTCCAGCCAGGCCAGGTTCCTCTTGATTTTTCAGTCTCTGAGAGGCCTTTCTCTGGCAAAACTAGGGCCATCCCTTCTCCCCATTCCCTTTCACTATGGTCATCATTTTGATCCTGGGTGTTTCTTTAATAACAAGCACTAGCATCTTTCATTCTTTAGAAATTACCTGCTCCTTTGTTCTGGAATTCGAGCCCCAGGAGGGCGAGGTTAGGTCTATCTTATTCATCACTGTATTGTCAGGACTTCACCCAGTGCTTAGCACGAAGCAGGTGCTCAGTACAGCCCTGCTGAATCGACTAATTAAAAGAGAAAGCGCAAGGCTGACCCTGAGAGATGAGGCTGGAAATAGAAGGCCTTGAACACAGGATCCTATCCATCTCTGCACTCCCGGCACCTCCCACAGGGGAGACACTTAGCAAACGTGCACGAGATGAATGAAAGAATGACTCAGGTTCCAGATGAATCTGAAAAGTGCTGTCCTTTCTGGGCAAGGTTCCCAAAGAAGCAGCTCCCTCTCCTCCTTGGGACTTCTTAGGAGAAGGCAGACCCAGGGCACAGAGCAAGTGTTCAATAAATGCTAGTGTCTCTGTCGCCATTGCTGACACAAGGGCTGTCACATGGCCCAGAGAAAAGACCTGCTCTCCGGCCCACGCAGACCTAGTGACTGGGAGAGAAGTGGGAAGGAGGTACACAGGAGGGAAAAACGAGAGCGGGGACACGGGATCCAGTCAAAGACGCTGAGAACTTAAAGGGAAAACACAGGAACGATGAGGCTCCAGGTAAATAGGCTCCTGTCTTTCCTCTAGACCTGCGGTCCCAGCTCTTTTGGCACCAGGGACTGCTTTTATGGAAGATAATCTCTCCACGGATCAGAGAGGGGGCGGGGGGGCAGAGTTCAGAATGATTAAAGCACAGTATGGACGGTTTGGGGTCCTATGAGAATCTAATGTTGCTGCTGATCTGACAGGCAGAACTAAAGTGGTCATGTGAGCAAGGCGAAGTGGCTGGTAACACAGGTGTAAAACTTCTACCCTGAAACTCACCTCCTGCTGTGGGCCTGGCTTCTAACAGGCCACGGACAGGTACATGGCCTGGGAGGGTGCGAACACGCCTGCTCTGGACTTTAGCCACCTGGGAGCAGTGTGGAGACGTGCGCAGGGAGATGCATCCTCAGGAAGGGCGAGGGAGGGTCCTATTTGAAAGTACGCATTCATGTGGGGGCCTGCAAGACTGTGGCTGAGTTTGCAAAATCTGGCTCACTGTGGCTGGTGAGGAGTGGGGAGGTGGAGAGAATTTCAATTTCCTTCACCAAATGGCAAGCTTTCGAAAAAGTCCTTTCTCTCCAACATTATCACATACTAAAAATGAAAAACCAGCCCTTTGGAGCTCTCATAGTGAGAAAAATAGATGGGCTGCCAAGCTCACAAGATACAGGGGGGCTGGAAATCAAGCCTAGAGAACATCACTGAGTATATTACGTGCTAAGATACTGCCCTTTTCTGGACCTGGGGGTTTCTACTTTATACAAAAGAACAGAATAGAGAAAAGTCATCCCCCATAGAAGAAGCCACCCATTTTATATTTCAAATCTATTTGCTGGGGGGAAAAAAATCCATTTGGTGACTGAAGCTCCAAATCCATTTAATGACTGAATAGTAGGGGTTAGGGAATCGTTTCTCTAACTCTTATCTCAAAATAAGCAGTTTGAGGTAACTGCATATCTCAGAAATAGCAGCAATAACAGATAAAACAAGAGAAGACACTAAAAATGATGACAGTTACAATGCCAAGAAGACATATTTCCAAACTTAACGGCTGACACAGACCAGAAACTGACAGTGTGAGGAGCACTGGACAGGGAGTCTGAACCCTGGCCACGTGACTTTTCCTAAGCCTGTCACCTCTCCTGGCTGCAGGAATAACAAGAAGGGGCTGCAACAACTGCTCTCAAACGTCCTGTTTTTTCCTTAACTGCTGAGATTTGACGCTTCCAGAAGATCTGCATCTAAGATCTAACTGTTAGGTGAATCTCCAACTGCAAAACAGGAAAGCCCTGGGCTGCAGTCTGATGGAGAGACAAAACTGGCCTAGATACTGAACTATGTTTTACAATCCCGAACATTACTCAGCAATCCGTGCCCGGCTGTCATTCCAGGATCCAATGTGCCAAGACAACCTGACAGAGTCTACGGGAAAAAGTGGGAGAAAGTTCCTGCTCTCTCTGATTAGTGCGGGTAAAGCTGAGGTCACGCTGAGGATGGTCTGAAGTTGGCCCTCCATCCGCCTGCGCTAGTGGAAAAATTAATTATTGAAGGAAACCGCTTTAGGAATGCCCGGGAAGAACACTCGGGATGTATGAAACCGCAGAATACCAGACGCCAGAGAGTTTCTTTCTTTTTTTTTTTTTTTCTTTGAAACTTCACGTTGCTCTCAGAAAATGCAGCAGGTCTCCAAATGGTACAAGGAGAAAAACACAAGCCACTTTCCTGGCTTCCCAGAAACAAACCCCAAGCCCCGAATGGATTTTTTTTTTTTCTTTAGTTTCGTTCGCTGTAAGCCAAGTGGCCTAGGGCCTGCCTGGCAGCGCCGAGTCCCAGCTGGGGCCGAGGGCCGGGGGCCGGGGCCGGGCCGGCGGCTCCAGAAACGGCGGGGAACTTTCCTCCGCCGCGCTCGAGACAATGCCGCGGTCGGCTGGGAGGGCGCTGAATCCGCGGGGCCTGGACCCCTCTCCGGGAGGGCGCGCCAACCCCCCACGGGCGGTCCCACCCTCCCCACCCCCGCGCCTCGGGGGGCGCAGACCCCCAGCCTCCGGACGGCCGAGCCCGGCCCTGCGAAGCCCACGGCCAGCTCCCCTGCGCGAACGAAGCCGGGACCCGCCCGGCGCCCCCGTGCCGGCGCCTCTCCGCGCGGGAGCCGGGCAAGGGGGTGCCGACGAGACCCCCGCGCGGCCCTGCCGAGCCCGCCCGAGCGCCCCGCAACTCACCGGGACCGGGCGGGCCGCTGGGCATTATTCCATCGCGGGTTCGGTGGCGGCTCCCTGGCGGCGGCGCAGACGCCCGCGCCCCGGCTCCCCTCGGCCGACCGATCACGGCTCTCAGAGCGGAAAGCGGGCGGCGGGCGGCGGCGGCGGGAGCAGCCGGCGGGGCGGGAGGCGCGGGCCGGGGGCTGCCCGAGCGCAGAGAGCCCGCCCGCGGCGGCGGCGACGACGGCGAGGCGCGGGAGCCGAGCGCGGCGCAGGAAGGGGCGGGCGACCATGTGCCGAGGGGAGGAGGCCGCAGCGACGCGCGCGGCTCGGACGATCCCGCTCGGCGGCGGAGGGCGCGGGCTCCAGGAAATCCAAACACTTCGACAGGAAATCGGAATCCTGACTAAGCATTCCCGGCCCGGGGGCCGCCCCACGCCGGGGGCTCCCGCCTCGCTTAACCCTTGGCCCGCCAGCACGCAGGAGGGGAGTGGGGGGGCCGGTGGGCTCCCCGACATCGCACGGGGAGAGCGGCGGCCGGACACCCAGGGGCGGACCAGCGGGGTCTGCGACCCCCCGACTCCGGCGTTGCGAGCCGGGCCAGTGTCGGCCCTCCTATCTCTTCGGCCCCACACTCGCGCTGGCCTGCCTCCTCCCTGCTCAGATGTAGAAAGGGTCGGATTTGTCCCGATAAAACCTTGGCCTTGGGAAGTGCCTTTCTAAGTCCCCTGACACCAGGAAAGGACCTTGGTCTCTCTCCCATTCTGCAAAGAATGAACTTGAAATCTCCTAGCCGTTTCCCCTATTTTTCATAAAATAAATGACTTTACCTGACTACCACCCTCCCACCCCTTTCACTGCGTCCGCGTTGCTAATTTCCTCATGTTTTGCCCAGTGCCAGGGGGGCAGGACCTTTCCAGGTCAGGATAGTATACAAATGGTATGGACAGTCATAGTATGAACTTTGGACTCTGAACCGGGTTGGAATCCACACTTTGCCTTTTTTCTAACTGGGTTACCTTGGGTAAGTCACTTAACTTCACTGACCCTCCGATTGCTGAAATGTGAAATGAGGTGGTCATAGTGCTCTCATAGGTTTGGTTTGGAAACCAATTGTTTAGACCGTGACTGACACATAGTAAATACTTGAATAAATGATAACCACGATTGTCTTTACTACCACAAGAGACATCGGAGAAAGGAGGGTTTTAATTGATGGAGTGTGTGCTGTGCATTATCTATACCTACTTAAAAAGCTTCCAAACTTCATTTCCGTCCTTATCACCTAGTGATTTTTTTTCTTTGCAGCATTTCAGAAACTACTGTCTGTAGAGGAAAAGGTTAGTGGCTATGGTAGAATACCTTCTGGTGAAATTTGAAACTCCACAAACGCTACAGAATTTGGTATTTTGCTCTTAACCTGAGACTCAGGACACTGGGCGGGGGGGGGGGGGGCGGTGTTGTTAAGAAGTCTGGAGAGGTATTAAGAAGTTTGAGAAAACCAAAGTAAATCTCCATGCAGTCAGGCCTGGACTAGGTGGGCCAGTGGGAGTGATTCATTGTGGTTTTCCACGGAAATGCCACATTTGGGGTTTTTCTACCTGGAGGATGCAGCTTGGTGGTTTTGCTGTAAGTGTTTCAAATTCCTTTCAAACCCAATCTGACTTTGAAGAGGGAACAACATACCCGTGGGTGAAAACCAAACTTGAAATGAGTCTGACAGGCACTGGAAGCTGGATATCAGCTCCCCAACCTGTAAGTAAGGACCAGACATCAGTTTTGTCTCTTTTCTGCAACTCTTTTATCAGTGGCCAGAAGCAGTGGGACAAGCTCCTGGTTTGGCCCTGGGAGTCCAGGGTCCTGCCCCCGGCCCTTTGCACCTGCTTTTTCTTCTGTCTGGAAGAATCTCTGCTTGACTGTTCCACTCAGCTCATAGTTCAGAAGTCAAGTCCTCAAAGGGAACTTTCCCCAACCATTGGATCTACTTGACTTTGACACTCACCTCTCCCACCCCACCTCTTCTGCACATCACACGCCCTGTTTCATCGCTTAATAGCCCTTGAAAAAGTGAACGTGTTAGTCGCTCAGTCATGTCCAACTCTTTGCAACCTCATGTACCATAGCCCACCAGGCTTCTCTGCCCATGGAGTTCTCCAGGTGTGAATATTAGAGTGGGTAGCCTTCTCCAGGGGATCTTCCCAACCCACGAATCTAACCCGCATCTCCTGCATTGCAGGCAGATTCCTTACCCTCTGAGCCACCAGGAGGCTTTCAAATGGGAAAGCCCACTGTAATGGAAGAAGTGTCAGACACCTCTATTAATGGTTCAGCAAAGTTAAAACTATAAGTAATTAAGACTGTCAGACAAGTTAACTGCAATCTCATTGATACAGTCCTAGTTAATTGCATCCTCCTTTGTGCTCCTGCAGCACTTCCATTCATTTAAAGAATGTATCACATTCTACACTTGCTCAGTAAGTCCCCCCCAAGTTAGAAGGCAAACTCTGAGTTGGAGGGAAAGGAAAGGAGCCTACATTTATTGACCACTTACTCTGGTTAGGTGATTGCAGCCATGAAATTAAAAGACTCCTTGGAAGGAAAGTTATGACCAACCTAGACAGCATATTAAAAAGCAGAGACGTTACTTTGCCAACAAAGGTCTGCCTAGTTAAGGCTATGGTTTTTCCAGTGGTCATGTATAGATGTGAGAGTTGGACTGTGAAGAAAGCTGAGCGCCGAAGAATTGATGCTTTTGAACTGTGGTGTTGGAGAAGACTCTTGAGAGTCCCTTGGACTGCAAGGAGATCCAGCCAGTCCATCCTAAAGGAGATCAGTCCTGGGTGTTTATTGGAAGGACTGATGCTGAAGCTGAAACTCCAATACATTGGCTACCTCATGCGAAGAGTTGACTCATTGGAAAAGACCCTGATGCTGGAAGGGATTGGGGGCAGGAAGAGAAGGGGACAACAGAGGATGAGATGGCTAGATGGCATCACCGACTCAATGGACATGAGTTTGAGTAAATTCCGGGAGTTGGTGATGGACAGGGAGGCCTGGCATGCTGCGGTTCATGGGGTCGCAAAGAATTGGACACGACTGAGCGACTGAACTGACTGAACTGAACTGACTCTGGGCAGGACTCTGAGCAAGATGAATTTGAATTCATTAAAGCCATCACTAGTTAAGGGCTTCCCTGGTGGCTCAGTGGTAAATAATCTGCCTGCCAATAGAGGAGATGTGTGTTTGATCTAGGAAGATTCCACATGCCTCGGAGTAACTAAACCGGTGCACCACGCCACTGAGCCCACATGCCCTAAAGCCCTTACTCCCAAAACACGAGAAGCCACCACAGTGAGAAGCCCATGCACCACAGCTAGAGACTAGCCCCAGCTCGCTGAAACTAGGGAAAAAAGCCCATGCAGCACAACCAACTAAAAAAAAAAGTCACTAGTTACATGCTCAAAAATCTTCTGGGCAATAGATTTGCAAAGATGCACTGTTCTTTCCCTCCAAGTAAGTTCTATTTAGAAAACAGAGAAATGATTATTCTTACAGAGGTATGCTAGGGATGTCACAGGGAAGTCCTCCCAAATCATTAGGGAGTGGGTATCTTAGTTCAGGCCCACATTTATTTCTCACAGTTCTAGAGGTTGAGAAGTCTGATGCTGACAGATTCTGTGTCTGGTGAGACCCCTCATCCTGGTTCACAGATGACCATCTTCTTACAGGGGCAAGGGGTTGCTCTGCTCTTTCTCTTATAAGGTCACTAATCCCATTCATGAGAACCCCACCCATTCTCATGACTTAATCACCCCCTAAAGGCCCCACCTCCAAACAGCATCATATTGCTGGTTAGGGTATCTTAACATATGAATTTTGGAAGGGGTTAGAAACTACTTTCAAGAAGCGGGTGCTCTGAAACTAACTTTCTAGGAAGAGGTGGAACTTATCTAGGTAGATAAGGGAACACAAGTCTGGGAGCCAGAACAAAAAGCACAGAGTTAATGATGCTCAGTTCTTGGTCCCCTGGACCCCACTGTGAGTTCATCTGCAAGCTGCAGTTTGATGCCTGTCTCCTCCTCTCTGCCTGGGCTTTTCTCCAAGGCTGCAGAATCTTGCCCAGACCAGAAGTGCCTAACAGCCCTGGGGCAGCCTCCAACCAATCAGTGGATAAAGTCCCAGCCTTCTATCCCTAAGGGGGACAGTCCTCAAGTGCTTTCAACAGAGGACCCCCAGTGGAGTTGAGTCCCATTGCCCCCAGGCATAACTTTCATCAATTCACTATGCCTTTTGTCTCCTCCCAGCCTTACTCTTTCACTTCCTCATTTATTCTGCTTGGAATCAATCACCTTTCAAATAAACTTGTTTTTCAGTCACTAAGTTGTGTCCAACTCTTTGCAACTGACCCCGTGTACCACAGCACACCAGGCTTCTCAGTCCTTTACTGTCTCCCGGAGTTTACTCACACTCATGTGCATTGAGTCAATGATGCCATCCAACCTTCTCGTCCTCTGCTGTCCCCTTCTCCTCCTGCCCTCAATCTTCCCCAGCATAAGGGTCTTTTCCAATGAGTCAGCTCTTCGCATCACGCGGCCGGAGTGTTGGAGCTAGCTGCACCCAGTTCTTTTTCTTGAGATTTGTTTCTGGGGAGACCCAAGGCAGGTCAGCATTCATTCATTTATTCACAGATACTGACCAGGCACCATTTGCTCTGTGTCTGAGCAAAGACCAAGCCTGAGTGGGAGCATGTAATACATCTGGTAGCTCTACAAGGTTCAGCATGGTCTGAAGAAACTGCATGTTTGGTCATGGAAAGCAATGAGACTTGAAAGCTTTGCACCATTTTACAGTTGAGGAAACTGAGGCACAGAAATGTTGACTAGCTGGCCCAAGGTCAAATACTTGGTTCACAGAGTTTTGGAGTACAGGCTCTTAACCATCCTCTACTTTCTCGCCTGGTGGTTAGAACTATGGGTGCAAGCTGCAGATGAATTCACCCATGGGGAATATGTAGAGTGAGAAGATACTGGGATCAAGGTTGAGGGACACTGTAGGCTGCAGGGGATGGGATACCCATAAAGCACACTGACCCCCGGAGGGAAGGGAGAGGTCCAGGAACAGAAATGGAAGGAATACCTGAGGTCAAGGGAAGAAATTGCTTCTAGAAGAAAGCAGTGGCCAACCCTCTCAAATGTCACAGAAGATCCAGCTAAGGAAGGAAAGCAAGTGCCTATTTTATTTGACAGTTAGAAGGCTGGTAACTTTTGCCAGAACTGCCTCAATGGAGTAGAGGGATTGGAAGCCAGATTGCAGTGGGTTGAAGAGTGAGTGGGAGACAGCAAGTATAGACAATTCTTTTCAGAAACATAGCAGTCTAGCTCGTGGGAGGCAAGGGTGGAGGATCCTTCTAGGAGAGTGGGTGAGTGAGCATCTGTGCTTGATGGGAAGGTCCCAGTAAGGAGGAAGAGGTTGAAGGGGAAGGGCGGGGTCCCTCATGGAACAGGTCCTGAGGGTGAGAGGGTGGGAGGTGGGAGGGGATGAGCTCTGGCCCCGAGGGACCACCTCGCCCACTGGAGTAGACAAGAGGGAAGGGAACAGAATGCTCAGATTGCATCAGGAATGTCTCCTGGATTCCCAGGCTAGGACTTGGGTGGGCTCGCACAGGTAATTCCATATGACATTCCTGCTCTGGGCGAAATGAATGCATCCCCGTGTAGATGAAT